GGGGAGGGGGGGAGCGGGAGACAAAATTGGGGTCAGTAGTCTGATCGGCGTCAGATAGCGGCTCCCGACTAACGTCAGTTTATCACACAGGAATGGCTATTCCAGTCTCCTTTTTATGCGTCGGTAGTGTCACTCTGCCAATCATCGTCCATTGTTCGGCAGTGGGGTCTCGTATTTTTGCCGTTAGACTCTGTCGACGTAAGGTCATGCGCAGTTTAATTCGCTGGTCTGGAGGTTTATGAAACCGGGATCCAGCCAGTTAAACTTAAATCGGCCAGGCAGGCTCAAGGCTTTTTGCCAGCTAGGAGAGAGGTTGTCATAGATCAAATTGCATGATATTTGCATAAAGAAATGCTTGTGGGCACATTTTTTACCCATAAAGACAGTAACGAGGCTGGAATGGTCATTTACGACTTAGTTGCAATCCACACCAAAATGTCCATTTCAGGTTCGGCCAGTAAACACGAGATTCGTACCCCGAGTCTGATGGTCATCGAGGTTTCAGTTAGAACGTGTGTTGTCAGTGTGGCCATTAATACGATCGCTGGAACAAGAAATCTATTTACCTGACGTTTCGGATTCTGTCGAGGACCCTTCATCAGAGGTAACCGTAGAATACGATGATATGCCCAGATTACGCTGTAGGTATAGTTCGTAGTGGCCACGCGAGCACATTCGCACTATAATTATCAGCCCCCGTAACTACAGCTGGCTTAACAGTCCACTTACGGGTCAATAATTGCCACATTTTGTCATCCGTGTTGGCTGCGAGCTTATATTACTGACCGCCTGATGTTACGCGGTTATCCCCCACTGACTGACGGGCTTCGGCTCAAATATTCACATCAAATTTCAGTCCAAACATTCAGGCGTGGATTCAATTAAAAGGCATATTAATCTTCCTGATGCCTACCTTGGGTTGCGCGAACAGGTCGAGGCCAGAGGACAAGGTCACTCCCGGCAGACCTGAGTTAAAAATGCAGTGAGCTGTACACTTTTCATTCCTTGACAATGGGCTCGCTTGAGAGTTTGAAACATCGGACCAATAAATCGCTGGTCTCAGAGAAGGCTTTACCATCTTCTATTCAATTACCTGGGCCTCACGTATTCTCGATCATTCAAAATGTAGCTCCTTGAAAAAACTGATCCACTCCGACCTACGGGTTAATTTGTAGGCAAATGCAGAAATTTCAAAGCAGGAGTTTCTACCAATTAGCAATAGTAAATGCTGGGGGACCCACTGATGAGCTCGATCCTTCGCAGGTGTGTCAAACAGCGGCAAAATGCCGGCGAAACACGCGCCTGGGCTTTTACCTAGTACCCGGGCCTCGAATGCGGTCAATAATTCCATAGCTCTCACCAGTACATTCACCACCACGCGTGATGTAAGTTCAGCAAGTTAGAGCCTGCTTGCCGGTCAACGAGCTATCAACGCACAAGAGTGCAATTATCGTCAAGTGTCGTTATACGTTTTCAGGAATGACTGCATCCTATAAATAATGAAAACTCCTGTACATACGGTACCCGTTTCTGCTAATTCCTTCTGCCCATGTCTCTGATGAAGAATCCACGACGGATGTCGAAACGTCGGACGAATAAAAGTGTTGTCACGGCAATCGAATCTTCGTCTTCTCATTCACGGTCTCGCCTCATGTACGCACCAGCCTATCCGGATTTCAGGGTGAAAATTAGCCTTTCCGCTCTGCCTAGGCATAGACAGTTAACATCTCCCATACACAGGCGTTCAGAAATCAATAATTGTGATTCGGTTTTCTATTTAAGATCCAAGCTCTTGTCAGTAATCAGTATTCAAGATAATAATTGACCTCCTAATGAAAGGTAGTGTGGAACAAACAGCTCGGATCTAGAAAAAATGTTTTATTTGATTTGCTGTTCGTTGGTATTTTTGACAAGTATTTATGGTTGGAGAGCCATGCCTCCTGAAGAATTAACTCTAAAATAACCTTGTTTTTAAAGAGTACATTTTATCTGAATGAGATTTCTGCAACAATTAGCAAAGCACCGGTTCAAGAGACGTTTACTTAATAGCAATATGTTGGTTTTGGCTGGGTTAACCCTTCTGCCAGCAATGAAATACGGTTCATGGGGTGTTTTTTCAGTGTTTCCTTCTTGTTTAAAGTTCAACATTCGTCTCAAAAACCACGTTTTTGTGACGATTGAACTTCCTTGAAAACGCATCTTCCCTAGGAAGTCAGTTCCTCTCAGAAATATAGAATTAGGAGAAAGTCACCATTTTAACAAGGACTTTCGCAGTTCGCACGCGTACTAAGAGATCATTAAGACTAAAGACGGCCCAAAATCCATAAAAAAAAGCGTAAAAATGTGTGATGCGATTCCTGTCAATAGCTGTCCAATGGAATTTTATCAGAAGGACCGGTGGACTGCTTAGTTAAGGATACAGTTTCTATTCTCCAACACTCAACGTAAAACCACCACATCAAAACCATATCTCCGTCTCAGATTGACACGGGGCTGTTAGCTGCAGAGCAGAATGCGTGAAGTAACCTAGAGTTTTGTTAAATATTATTCACTGGTTCCACCCGAAGCGCATAATTTGATTCATTCGGAGGGAGAATGCTGACACTTAGAAACGTTTCCTTTTCTACGCTGTCTAAAAATGAAAATATATCGGGACAAATATTTTCGCAAACATTTTAACCTTCCTTTTTTAAAACAAAGGTAGCAAACATATTGATGTTTGTGCCCAATATTGTTCGAATTGAGCAGGTAGGAGTAACCAAGTGTGATTAAACAGTATTTTCATTTTAAATAACCTAAATTTCTTCTGTTTCTACCTTAAAAATTTCTGGAGTAACTCTAAAGATAAGGTTGAACTTCCGGCAAGAGTAGTTTAAGTAGTGCACCTAATATATGCTCCTAGTCGTAGCATTCTATGCTATAAAAACGGTGGTTATAGATGTTTTTAGGTGAAGTATTAAGATACGCTGTGGAATATACCTTAATATTTACTATGTACATGTTTTAAAATTGTATTTAGAATTGGTGTTTTATATCTGTAGATTTTCATAATTTGTTTTGTCTTTTAACGTATTGTGGAAAAGCCGATTATCAAAATGCAGGCCTCTGTAAATCCCCAAAAAAATTAAATTGATGGTTAGGAGGTCATCGGCTTTAACTACCTGAGGTCCGGCTTACCGTTCCGGATTTAGATTATTATAGTCCATGGTGCGAAGCGCCGCGCAAATCTTCAATTTTCATGCGGAACAGCTTACTCCCAGCGGCGACGTGAAACAAATTCAGCTATATTTTTCCACTTTCCACTCACTTTTACAAATTTTATTCACTGTCTGTCCTATTTTCCCACCCTCGAAATCCCTATAACCACCGGTTCCGTAGGGCAAAATGCTGGGACTAGGGGTATATCAGGTGTACTACGTAAACTACCTTCGCCAAAATTCCTGAGCTGAAATCAATGTCAATAAAATCGATAAGTTGGGAGGTTTCTTTTACCTCAGTGGCTCATAATAGTTGCATCTGTAATACCGTACATGTTAACAAAAGTGCGTTAAGTGGACAGCGGCGTTATTATCCAGATTACGAAATATGCAAAAATTAATAAAAAATGACTTATCATTTGGAATGCGTCCCAAATGCATCGTTCACAACTCCTCGTTGTTAAGCAAAGAGCTGCGGCTCATTAAAAACATAGAAGAAACGTTGAACGTAATATTGAATTGTCTAAAAATAATAATTTATCAAAATAAGTACCACTTGCGATCTTAAAGACTTTTGCCAAATCGGTAGCCGAAATCTGTAAAATTGTATATAAAACACCGAAAGTCGGAGTTTCGAAGAAGTGACTGTATAAATACTTAAATATAGTTTAAATGCCTGACGCCAAGCGTTAAGATGTGTGCTCAAAAAGTGAAATTGCATTTTACTAATGGAATGGTTTTAATCTGCACACAAGGTTACTCGAAGGCGTTATTAATCTTCCTCTTACTGACTTAACGATATACGTTTTTACAAGTAAAACTATTTTCTCTCAGATGATAACAAACTTGTCAACATCCTGTCTTGCCTAAACTAAAAAAAACAAATTTGCAACTAGACGAAGGGTGCTTTGGTTTGCATTCATTTTCGCAAGTAG